TGATCTTCAAGGTCTCCTCCAACCTAAACGATTCTGTGGCGGTGTGGTGAATGGGTGGGTGAATGTCTTGTTGCTTTTCTCAGGTTGGCTTCTTCAGAAAGACTTATTTGTCATTTCCAGCTGGAATGAGTGAAGTCAAGCTGTGATGAACTCTCTCCAATGTTGGCAACCCATGTGGTGCAGCACTGAATCCTTCCATCTTGTTCGTGGTCTCCTGCTCTGTACTAGGAGATTCAATTCAGGTGGAACTTGCTTATTTCTGGTGACCACCTAGTTCAAAACTGGTTTTGGAGCTTAGGGAGCAGCAAGGGCCTCCACGGCTGCTGAGAGCCATCTGCGCGTCCTTTGGTTAGATGCCCGTAGCCAAACTCTGTGAATTTTCATAAATTCACTTCTCAAGTCTTTTGGTGCCTCATGTTCTGCACCGAAGGGACGCAGCGAGCACTTCTGCAGGTCGCTTGTCTGTCTTCAGACTCGGGCTGGTCAAAGCCGAGCGCAGATTTTCAGAGATGCTTCCTGCCACGCTCCGTCAAGTGATGGTTGAGATGGCCGGGCAATTCTTCATCTCTTTGTCCAGCCCTCATCCTTCAAAATACATGGTGTTCACTTCACTGCCCTCTTCATCTCACTGTCTCCAGGGTCTCGTCAGCTGAACTGAAGTCACTTCTGGCAGTTGGTGGGCCTGGAGGAGTAGGTGGTGGGAATCAGCCATGTCCCTCAGGAGCTGTAGAACTCGCTGGCAGAACCTTATAGAATCATAGAATGGTTAGGGTTGGAAGGGACCTCAAAGGTCATCTAGTTCCAACCCCGTTCCCTTGTGAGTGCTCACTTTGTAGTACTGAGGCCAGAAGGTGATGCGATGCAGCAACGGGTCCTTCTACGTGGGCTGGAGAACAGCTGAGGTATCCACAGGAAAGGTGACGGTCCCTTGTCTCCTGAAAGTTTCTGGTGTGGAAACGCTGTGGTTTGGGGACCGGGCCCACAACTGGAGCTGCGGAGGTGGTTCTGCGCCAAGGCTGGTAGATGTGTCCTCCTGCCTAAAATTCTTCCGCCCCTCGGGCACTGCATCCTCTTCTGAGCAGAAGAGGCAACGTTCCCTGGCCTCGAGAGCTGCTCATGGTTTCCATCCTCCCGTTTGAGGTCCTTCTTGGATTTCCTTCTAGCTGCAAACCACCCAACTCTCCTCTCCATGAGCGACACATCTTACCAGCTCCGTTTCCACCCAACACCAGGAGGGCTCTTTCCACCCAACGCTGAGGCTCTTTGTGTCACAATTCTTGCATCAAGGCCACGTTTGCGTCACGAGCTTGGGTGACATCATCGTTGAGTGCTGAAGAGCAGCCTTAGCGTTGACCGCCTTCGTGGATGAGCTTCACGATGGGTCTGGGAGGCTTGATGGAGATGTGGATGGTTTGGGCACGGGGTACACGTTCTGCTTAGTGGTGTTTTTCTTTCCCCTCCTTTGGAAGAAGGTTCTTATTTATTCAAAACTTGGGACTCCGATGCTTTCTTCATGGATCTTAATGCTTCCGTAGCAGGCTCCCGCCCTCCAGCCGATGATCTCTGCCCTCTGGATGCCACCAGTGTGGTGAAACTCACTAGACATCGGTCCTCTTTCCTTGCGGAAAAGCAATGGAACTGCAGAAAATGAGCAGTAAAATGATGAAAAATACATTTGTTTTTTTTGTTTTTTGCACATTTTCAGTTGTAATTTTCTGGAGTTCCAACACTACAAGTCATAGAATCATCTGGTTGGAAGTGACCCTCAAGATCATCGAGTCCAACCGTTCCCCCTGCACTGTCAGGGTCCCTAAACCATGTTCCTCAACACCAAAAGTTGTTCAAATTGAAGGAAACACTGCTTTTTTTTTGTGGGGAGGGGCATTTAAAGGTCCCTGGGCTCGCCGTGTTTACATCTGCCTCTCTTCTTTTTGCAGCCATGTAAACACCCCACCCATATTCCATCCTGGTATTAAATGTCCACCCAGGAACTCTCTGTGCTTCAGCCTGGGGTTTCGGTTTTCCTCTGCCTCTGGAAACCGGGTGCGCCAAGACAAAGCCCTTGGTGTGGTGACCTTCAGAGCTCAGCAGCAAGGGCTGGAGATCTCCTCCGGCTTTGTGCTCGTCCTTTTGTTGCTCAGTTTCTACATCTGAGGCCAGTTTTGAAGCCCCATGTGAAGGTAGATGAGACGGTGAGAGAAAATTGTATTTGTGTGAGCAAGACTGCGTGGGGGTGGTCCCAGGGGACAGGAGGGAGCCCGACTGGAGGAGCCCAACTGCCCCCCCACAGTGCTGCGTTCAGCTCTGGGGTCCCCAACACAAGAAGGACATGGAGCTGCTGGAGCGGGGCCAGAGGAGGCCACGGAGATGATCCGAGGGCTGGAGCACCTCTGCTATGGAGACAGGCTGGGAGAGTTGGGACTGTTCAGCCTGGAGAAGAGAAGGCTCCAGGGAGACCTTCCAGCACCTCCCAGTGCCTAAAAGGGGCTACAAGAAAGCTGGAGAGGGGCTTTGAACACAGGCGTGTAGTGACAGGACAAGGGACAATGGCTTTAAACTGAAAAAGGGGAGATTTCGATTAGAGATAAGGAAGAAATTTTTCACTCAGAGGGGGGTGAGGCAGTGGAGCAGGTTGCCCAGAGAAGCTGTAGATGCCCCATCCCTGGAAGGGTTCAAGGCCAGGTGGGGCTTTGGGCAACCTGGTGTAGTGGAGGGTGTCCCTGCCCATGGCAGGGGGGTTGGAACTGGATGGTCTTTGAGGTCCCTTCCAACCCAAACCATCCTGTGATGCTCTCCTCCAAGCTCTTTGGTGTATCTGTAGGCTGCTGTGGAGCCACTGGTCCCAGTGTGGGCTCTTAGATGGGCCCGACGGCTCTGACCTTGCGGTTACATGTCACTACTTTGATCTGGGGAGACCTTTATCCATCCCTCCTCCTTTCCAGTTGTCTCTTGCTGGGCTCTCGCTGCGTAAGAGGCGCCGCAATTACCCACCTCAGCCCAAAAAAGCCCCAAAAAGCCCCTCTCGTTGCTCGTGGCTGCAAGG